TTCATTCATTGTTGCACTTTTTTCTCTACCACCAGCCCCCAGTTCGCTCCTCTCTTTGAAAAGCAAAAGATAAACTTCTTCATTGGTATACAATCCTCCTGCCCTCCGCCCCCCCCCATCTTTTTATTTTTAAAGAAAATTTTTATTTTGTACTGGTTTACTTACAGAGTTTGTCTACATTGTTTGCCACACCAGATCATTCCCATTTCCTTTACTAACCCCTCTATCCACCCATCAAATTGTTCAACTCTATAATTAACTATCCCCCACCCCACCCCTGCCCATCCACACCCCTATGCTGTCACCCCGCCCCCTCCTTGGATCCTCATGTGTGCTCTACAATATTGCCTTATACAGTATTTGTCCTTATGGGACTGAGTTAGTTAGTTCACTTAGCATAATGCTCTCCAGTCCCATCCCAAGTTAGGTAGTAATTTACAAAATCATTGCTCCTATGTGCTGTGTAGTATTCCATCATGTGAATGTACCATAATTTCTCAATCCATTCAATTGTGGTTGGGTATTTGGGCTGTTTCCATGTTCTTGCAATGATAATAACACTGCTATGAACACTGATGTACAAGTCTCCATTTGTGCCTCAGTTCTCATTCTTTTGGGGTATATTATAAGCAGTGGAATAGGCGGATCATATGGAATTTCTATGTTCACCTTTTTGAGGAGATGCCAAACTGCCTTCCAGAGTAGTTGTACCATTGTACACTCTCACCAACAATGTATTAAGATTTCCTATCTCACCACATCCTCTCCAAAATTTATTACTTGCTATCCTGATAAACTTTGATTGCAGCATAGCTTCTTGCCACTAGGCTACCAAAGCTCCCTGTGAGATGGTATCTCATTGTGTTTTTGATTTGTATCTCTCTTATTGCCAGTGACTTAGCTCATTTCTTCATGTGTCTGTTGACCATCCGAATATGTTCTTTGCATGTCTCTTGCCCATTTTGTCATTGTGTTATCAGTCTTTTTCTTGTGGAGGACCATCAGGATTCTGTAAATTTTTAATATGAGACCGTTGTCTGAAATGGTATTGCCAAATGGATTTTTCCCAGTCAGTAGGTTTTCTTTCACTGTTTGAAAGTGTTTTTGATGCACACAAGGATTTAGTCTTTTGTTCTATTTATTCTTATAAGGGGAGAGAAGAAGAGAGCTGGACAATGACTAAGAGTGATACCTTTGAGCTTGGTGCTGGAGAAGAATATCTGTCAGAAGAACAAACAGGCTCATCCTGGAGAGGGTGAAGCTGGGGTGCTCCTTGGAGGCAAGGATTCTGAGGCTTCGTGTGACATACTTTGGGCATGTTGCAAGGCAGGACCAGTCCTTGGAGAAGGACATCATGCCTGGAAGGGTTGAGGGATAGCACAAGGGAAGATAACCTTTGATGTGATAGATTGATTCAGTGATGGGGTAATGAGAGTAAGTGTTTCAGAGACAATAAGGTTGGCACAGGGTAGAGCAGGTTTCAGGGCTGTTGTAAGCGATTCAACAGCACATAACAACCACCTACAAAAAATTCATTACTCAAACAGAAACTGAGCACCTCTTCAGTGGACTTTTGAATTCCTTATTCTCCCCTGCCCTGATAACCACTAATAAATTTTAGTCTCTGTTTTTGTCTATTCTAGATATTTTATGCAAGTGAGATCAGAAAATGTTTGTTCTTTTGTAACTGAATGACTTCACTTAGTATAGAGTGTTTTCAAGACTCATCCATGTATGTAGAATTTTATTTTTTTATGCCTCAATAATATTCCATTGCATGTCTATACTACCAATGCTAAAGAGTAAAAAAATCGAAGACTTTTATTAGTTTGTGTAGTCTAAAATTGATAAAATATGCAATGAAGATGATTTGATAACTGCTGGTGATTGAGATGCCAAAGTTGTAAAAGAAGGATCAGCTGTTGGGATATATGACTTTGGTGTTAGAAATGATGCCAGATATTACCTAATAGAATTTTCCAAGAACAGAGAGTTATTCATTGCAAATATGTTTTTTCCGTAACATCAGTGGGGACTGTGCATGCGGACTTCACTGAATGGAAAGACATGATGGCAAGACTCAGTATCATCAGTCAAAATAAGGCTGGGGCCAATTGGAACAGACCATTCATTGCTTATAATTAAGTTCAAACTGAAGTGGAACAAACTTGAAATAAGTCCCTGGGAGCCAAAATATACAACTTTGAATTTATCTAACAAGTAGATTTAATACATTGAATACTAATGACTGAATACCAGGCAGATTGTGGGATCACATCAAGGACATCATCCATGAAGAAAGAAAGATCAAAAAAAAAAGAAAGAAAGAAAGAAAGAAATGTCATTAAAAAGACAGAGATTAAATAAAAGACCAAGATTAGTGTGAGAAAAGATTCTAAAACTTCCTTTAAAATGTAGCAAAGCTAAAGTGAATAGAAGAATGGGTGACTTAAGCGAGCTGAATGTATGATTTTAAGGAATAATTATAAAAAGACAAAAATATTGTAATGGGAGTGATAAAGAACCAAGGCTATAGCCTTCAGTATGGATTAATTGTCAGTGTTGAAAAAAAATAATCCTATAGGTAGGCCAATAAGAAATGTATAGTAAATGTAGAGAAGAATAGATTGAAATTTTATTTGGATCCACAGTCAGCATCTATGAAGGCAGCGCTCAAGAGATGTTATTTTGCATTAGGTAACTGCTACAAAAGATTTCTTTAAAGGTTTTCTTGTTTGTTTGTTTTAAAGAAGCAATAAAGCTAAAATGGAATTTTGAAGACTCAAACCTGGGTATTTTCAGTTGGCTCAAATGAATGGGAAAGCTGTACAGTGAACAAGGAAGACTGCAGAAGTCTTGATGTTTTTGAATGATGGTGTTCTTGAAGAGTGTTGAATGTACCGTGGGCTGCCAGGATGAACAAATCTATTTTGGAAGAAGTACAACAAGAATGTTCCTTAGAAGTGACGATGTTGAAGCTTTGTTTGGATGTGTTCTTGAGAAGTAGCTAGTCCCTGGAGCAGCCCATCATACTTGTTAAAATATAGGGTCAGCATAGTGGGTGCCAGCATGGACTCAAATAGAGCATCATTTTAAGAGAAGGCCAAAGGGCCAGGGATGTTTAATTCTGTTACTGTAGAAGGACAAGGGCCCCATGAGGATGGCCAGATCTGACCTTTACCAACTCCACAGTGGGAAACCGTCCCCACCATTAACAACACAAAACCAGTTCCCATGAGGTCAGACATGTCCTCTATTGCTCCCATACCTGTTTCTACTCATCCCAATGCCAATCTTATTGCTTTACTGGGTCTGAAATCTGTAGCAGTAGCTCACAGACCACAATGAACCGTGTTAGGAAAGTCATAAGACAATAATTCAGGTTGGTAGTGTACTCAGTCAAGATAGCTTCTCAAATGTGCTCACAGGCACCTTAGCGTCCCAGCTTTAGGCAAGTGTTACAGAGCCGTTAGCCCTGTTAATTGCTCTCCCCACAGTCCTTCAAAATCTTTGGGCAAAAGGCTCTTAGTTCTTGTTCTGTGGTATGGCAGTCTTGAGGTTGGTTCCATCTCACATCAGGTCTCTGGTTCTCTGCCAGGCCGTATCTGCTTTTGCCAAAGGTCTGGCTGGCACAAGAATCTCTGGCCCCGCGGGATATGCTCCATCTCTCTGGAGACTAAGGTGCACCTGATACAGGCCATGGTCTTTGCAATCACTTGTTATGCATCAGAGAGTTGGGCAATGACTAGGGAGGATAGAAGGAGAATTGATGCCTTTGAGCTGTGGTGCTGGAGAAGAGTATTGAATGTACCATGGACTGCCAAGAAAACAAACAGATTCATCCTTGAGAGGGTTAAACCAGGCTGCTCCTTGGAGGCAAGGATTCTGGGGCTTCGTCTGACATACTTTGGACATGTAAGGAGGGACGGGTCCTTGGAGAGGGACATCATGCTGGGTAGAGTGGAGGGACAGCGCAGGAGGGGAAGACCCTCTTTGAGGTGGATTGATTCAGTGACTGGGGTAATCGGGATGGGTGTGTCAGAGGCAATGAGATTGGCACAGGATAGAGCAGGGTTTAGAGCTATTGTATATAGGGTCGCTATGAGTCGCAAACGACTTGACGGCACATAACAACAACAACAACAACTTCTTCTCTAGTGGTGAGAATATCCAAACCTTGTGCTGAATCTGCTCAATTTAGTAGCAGAACTAGACAGTCTCTTTGTGGATGGGCTAACACACCCTGTTCACATATTCCCACCTATTCCCATGGCAAAGTCGAACTCAATGGTTAGGAAAGGAATTTTGAACAATTGTGAATAATGTCCCTGTGATTTTGAACTAACTTGAAGACACCTAATAACAACAACAATATGTAACCCACATTTAAATCCATTTATCAGTTGATGGGCACTTAGGTTGTTTCCATTTTTTTGGCTTTTGAGCCAAATGCAGCAGTGAATTTTGGTGTTCAAGTATCTATTTGAGTCTCTGCTTTCACATATTTTGAGTATATACCTAGGTTATATATTAGTTCTGTGTTTAGCTTTTTTAGTACCCACCAAACTCTTTTCCCCAGTGTTCGCTCCATTCCACACTCCCGCCAGAGGTGCGTGAGGGGTCCAGTTCCCCAACCCCCATCAGCACTCATTTTCTGATCACAATCAACCTAACGCGTATGATACGCTAGATAAAAGCATTTCCGGCTAAAACTTGTGATTTCTTTATTTTTATAAGACGTTCATATAAGATTTTTTTTACTATAATCAAGTCTATTCCAGGAAACTTGATGAATATCATTTGGTGGATAAGTCTAGTACTGCTTTCCAGTTTTTCAGAGAGTGAAAATTTCTAAATTCTTGGCTTTTCTCATAAATAGTATGGAAACAAACATCTCTAAAAAAAATGAAGTGTTGAGTACAAGATCTCATAATATTGGAAACATGTTTTAATATTGGTTCCTGATATATATAAAATAAATATATAAAATCTGTTTTTAGCTGGCAGGCTATGAGAGCCAGATTGCCAAACTGCGAGCTGAGGTTGAGAAGGGAGAGGCGTTGCGACAGAGTCTGGAATATGACCTGGCTGTTGCTAGGAAGGAAGCTGGTCTCGGAAGACGGGCGACTGAAGAAAAACTGGCTGAGGCTCATAGGGTCCACGAGCAACTCTGTGGTAAGACTATTTCTGTGTCTTCTCATGCTTAGGGTAGCCTGGCTTTGTTATCTAGAACTGCCTAAAATGAAATAAAACAAGTAGATGGCTTTTACAAATAGAAATTTTATCCCTCCGTTTAAGAGACTAGACGTATCAATACAGGGTGCCAGCTCTACAGGACGCTTAGATTTCTCTCTCTGTTGGTTGGTTCACAGTTTAGGAAGAAGGTTCTGGTTTCCTTTTAGCACTGATGGGCCTGGGTTCCTTGTCTGGCATCATTCGGCCCTTGGGTCTAGGAAGTGCTCAGTGAAGAGACTGGAGTCCACAGGACGTGCTTCACTCTGGGTCTTCCTTCCTGTTGGCATGGAGGTGTTTCTCTTTGTGCTCATTTCTCTCTTCTTTTACCATTTTTTTAATTAAATTTTTTATTTTATTTTATTATTTTTGTGTGAGTGTACCATCAGATCAGATCTGACTGGTACAGGAGGAGACCGCCCCTCCTTCCCCGGCAGAGCATCTGGTGGATTTGAACCGCCTTTTACCATTTTTTTTATGGCAATTATGTGATCATTTCTTGACCTTAGGCGTGTGTGTGTGTGTGTGTGTGAAACTATGGAAAAAAGAATTCTAAACTTGTTAATGACTTTATTTAAAGCAGTTGCACCGTGAATGATTGACAGAATCATGTAAGATTTAAATATATATATATATAAAATACTCCTCAGCAAGATGGATCGACAGTGTGACTGTGACAGTGGGTTAAGGATGTTGGAGATTGTGGTAATTGTGCAGGATAGGGCAAGACTCAGATCTGTTCTCAAATAATTTCTTCTTGAATAATTTGCTCAGCATACATAATTGACTAGGTGTGGAGAAAGGGTACAAACTTGACACACACCTTTCTTGATTTTAAACCATATTTATTCCCTTGCTGTGTTCCCCAAACTGCCTCTTGGCCTAGGTATAGGTTTTGAATGAGCACCATTCAGTGTTCTGAGATTCCATTTTTTCTCAATATTAACCATAATTTGTTATGATCCACACAGTCAAATGCCTTTGAGCAGTCAATAAAGCATTAATGGACATTCTTCTGGTGGTCTTTACTTTCAGCCAGATTCATCTGACATCAACAATGATATCCCTGGTGCCACTGCCTCTTTTAAATCCATTTTGAACTCCTGGCAATTGTCCCTGTTTTGTTCTAGCTGTTTTTGAATGATCTTTAGCAGTATTTTGCTTCCATGTGATGTTAATACTGTTGGATCACATCTCTTGGGAATGGAATGGGAACACATATGGACCCCTTCCGGTCAGTTGGTTAGGCAGCTGTCCTCCAAACTTGCTGATAGAGACTGGTGAGCAAGTCCAGAGCTTTTCCTGTCATTTGAAACATGCCTATTTCTGGGGTCATATTTTTTTGCCAGTGCCTTCAGTGCAGCTTGACCTTTTCCCTTCTTTATCATTGGCTCTTGATCATATGGTATTTTCTGATGTATTTCAGTGTTGGCCAGTTCTTTTTGATAGAGTGACTCCGTGTATTCCCTCTAGTTTCTTTTGATGCTTTCTGGATTATTCAATATATTGCCTATTTGTTGTTGTTGTTATTGTGTACTGTGGAGTTGGAACCAACCCATAGCAGACCTTCTCATGGGTTTTCAGAGGCAGTTAGTTAATTGCACCGGAAGAGGTTCCCCATCCTTCTGTTGTGGAGCAGTGGTGGCCTCAAAAATGTGCCTTTAGGATTACAGCACAGCTTCTTGCCACTAGGCCACCACAGCTCAATGTATTGCCCATAGCATCTCTAAGTATTGCACCTTGAGGCTCCAATTTGTTTTTCAGTTCCTTCAGCTGAGTTCCTCCCTTCTTATATTCTGATTCTGGGCTTCGGCACATTCCATTATGATACATTGTTTTGTTTTCTCAAGCTGCCCTTTGATATTTTCTGTTCAGCTCTTTTACTTCACCATTTCTTCTCTTTGTTTTGGCTTCTTGATACTCTAGTGTAATTTTCAGAGTCTCTTTTCCATTTATAATTAATGAGCATTTGGACAAGTTTTTTTTTTTAGTGGGCATTGAGAAAGTTTGCAAAACTATTTTTTATTCATTCACCATTTGTGTAAGAATGTTAATTATTGTCTCCACATTTTAATCGCACACTCTCCATTTCTTTCTCCTGATTTTTATTTCTTTTCCTCCTTTTATCTTCTCCTGCCTTCTGAGGTTTCTCTGTGGGTAAATACTGCATTTATGATCTTGTATGATGTTTTAAGGAATGAGTCCCTCCCTGGCATTACTGATAAGGCACACCTGCTTTTTGGCTGCAAGTTGAGCTGTGAGGGTTTAGTTCCTTGGTGTCAGGTGCTCCACCCATCTATCTCTCTTAGGCCAGCAAGTGTGCTCCTTTTTGTGACTTTTGAGTTTTGTCTCACATTTTTGTCCTACTTGGTCCAGTACAATCTGCTGTGATCCCTTTTAGAATGGCCAGCAGTTTGTTGGATGAAGGCTGTTTGGAGGGAGTTGGGTCCATAGATTCTATTGCCAAGAATGTATCATTATAAAACTACCCTCACTTTGCAGTAGAAATCAGGAGTAACAGGGTCGGCAAAAACGGGGACTTTTATTCTGGGAAAATTTGGAAAGTAGCATAGTGAGTGTTGAATACTGGCATCATTCTTGCCAGCTTGCATTTTCTACTGCTGTGTACCATTGAATCAGAACTGACCCATAGCTGACCCTCCAGTGTGTTTCCAGAGGCAGTTAATCACACAGGAGGAGATGCCCTACTTTCCTCTGAGGAGCTGCTGGTGGGCTTGAACTGTATGTCTTTGGAATAGCAGTGTACCTTCTTAGCACTAGGCCACCCTAGCATTTTCCACGAGCTTGCCCAAAAGTTAGCCCCTAGGTCCTTCTATTCCAGATGGGAACTGGATAGACTCTTTAGGAATATGTCATGGCATTGTCCAGCAAACTCATCCTTGTCTTCAGTGGAAGGATTGATTGAGAATAAGGTTGGTTCAATGATAGTGAGCTTTTCAAAAGTTTACTGGTGTTGAAGAGGTTAATTTCCCCCCTAAAAGTCACTTTGTAAGTGATGAATGCAGCTCCAGGAGCTGCATTTTGATCTCCTTGTGATCTAACTCATGCCGGTAAATATACCATTACTCATTTTTACTTTTTTTTTTTGTTTTGCTTTTGTTAACTTAAAATTTATTAAAC